AAACCACATAAAGAAATGTCAATCTCCAGGACCAGATAACATCACGACTAGAAGATGCTATAAACCACATAAAGAAATGTCAATCTCCAAGGCCAGATAACATCACGACTAGAAGATGCTATAAACCACATAAAGAAATGTCAATCTCCAGGACCAGATAACATCACGACTAGAAGATGCTATAAACCACATAAAGAAATGTCAATCTCCAAGGCCAGATAACATCACGACTAGAAGATGCTATTATCCACATAAAGAAATGTAAATCTCCAAGGCCAGATAACATCACCATTGAAGAATTAAAAACTGGGTTTAGATGTTTTGACAAAATCGTTCAATGATATTTATAACAATGGACACATTCCTGATGACCTTTTGAAATCTCTTTTTATACCTTTACTAAAAACACCTGGTGCAGTAGAATTTGGAGAACTTTTAACAATTAGTTTAATGAGTCATTTAACTAAAATATTAATGAGAATTATCATGAGAAGAATAGGGTGCAAAATTAAACCACATATTGGAGTAGAGCAGCGTGGTTTTGTTGTAGGTAAAGGCACAAACAACGCCATGTTATCTTGAGAACACTTTCAGAAAGAATGACTGATATGAACAGAGATCTGTATTTGTGCTTTATTGATTACACTAAAGCATTTGATAAAATGAAAAATGAAGAAATTATAAAAATTTTGGAAACTTTAAACATTGATGGTAAAGATCTGAGAGTAATAAAAAACATATACTGGCAACAAGAAGCAGCCATAAGGATTGACAACCAAGTTGGAACATTTCAAAACATTAAACAAGGTGTTTTAGACAGGGATGTATACTATCACCCTATTTATTCAATTTATACAGTGAAATAATAATTAGATCCATTCATGGTATATGAGGAATCGCAGTTGGTGGGCATACTGTTAACAACCTGCGATATGCTGATGATATAGTTTTGATCGCTGAAAGTGAAACACAGCTGCAAGAAATGATGGTTATAACTGTAACTGAAAGTGAAAACAAGGGTCAGTATGAACAGCGAAGAAAACTGACTCTCCAAAATGCAACATCAAAGTAAATCGGACAAACCTCAAGCAAGCTGATATGTTTAAGTACTTGGGTACCCTGATAAAACATCAGATGGAAGATGTATTAAAGAAGTTAAATGTCGAACAGCCCAAGCAAAGGCAGCATTTTACAAAGTGAAGAATATTTTATGCAATCTTTCTTTGTCAGTTGAGACGAGAAAGAGAATTATTAAAAGCTATATAAATCCTATATTGACATATGGAAGTGAATCTTGGACAGTTAGTAAATAGGGAAAACTTATTTAGAAGCTGCGGAGATGTGGTTTTATAGACAAATGATGAGAATACCCCGGACAGATAAAAAGAGTAATGAAGACATCTTGAAAGAAACTAGCTCGCGAAGAGAACTGATTGCTCACATCAGAAAGAGACAATCTACATTCTTTGGTCATGTAATGAGAAGGAGAAAACTTGAGTACATTGTGATGGTAGGAAAGTTGGGGGGGACGAGAGGCAGAGGGAGACCAAGAGAACAGATGCTGGACAGTTTGACATCATGGCATGGAAGATCATCTGTGTCAGAGTTGTTTGAAAGTAGACGAGACAACCAAAGCCACACGGCATGGACTCTACGAAGAAGAAGAAAAAGATATTGCCCATTCCAGGAATTGAACCTGTCACCTTCAAATAATGGCAGTACCTCACTGAAGAAACTAGTGTACTAAGATACATGACCAACAAGGCATCCAGCAATAATTTTTATTTTGGCTGGTGTGACATTCTGTCTTTAGACTTCTTTCTGTGAGTGCTGATCAATACATGTTTATTTGTTTGTTATACTTAATATCTCTATGGCCTTAAGGCTTCCCCATCTTTTTGTTTTTCTTTATAAGCCAGTTCACCTCCACTTTATGATTGTAAAAAATGTCAGTAATTTTCCGTTTCTCAATCCATGATACTCAAAGAATTTTCTTGTAACATTTAAGTTCAAAACAGCCCACATGTGCTGTGATAAATGATTTATCACCCGGTCACATAAAAATATACCTCTCCACAGATGTGAAGTTCTAGTGCTGGTTTTGTACATCTCATTGAGTTTTCATTAATTGGAGAGGGGAATAAGAGCTCTGCAAGTCCCAGTAGAGACAGTGCTTTAGTACCACATTTGGAGAAGTCTGAGGGCCAACTCTGCTCCAAGCCCTTCTCCAGATACAAGCCCTTCTCAAGATTCAAACAATCTAACGAGAAGAACTGAACTGAGAAAACGCTTTTAGTCCCACAAGGTTCTAGCTCATGTCTGAAGGAGTTCCAAATGGCAATACTAAACACATGGGTCAACTACTTCCACAGGGGTCAACTACTTCCACAGGGGTCAACTACTTCCACAGGGGTCAACTACTTCCAGAGAGGTCAAATACACAACTCTTAGAGAAAACAAATATGTTGTCAGAGATCTTCATCAAAGTCCCTAACTAAACATGAACGTGTCACATGCTATTTGGTTACTAATGAATGCATGGTACATATCTTGTGATGAAAAGAGAGTTAGAGCCAGTATCACAACATTTAGGACATTCCAAAAGGGTCCTGTCTCCACCTTCAGCAGCCAGTGAAAAGTCCTTCTTCCAGTGATACTGATACAACATAAGTGCATCAAATTTAGGGATCAAAACTCTACCAAAGATGCGTAACCAACCAACTAAACAAATAACTCCAAAGTGAAAAATTGATATGACTGCAGTAAATTATGAAACTAAACAAAAATTGGACAAATATAAAGTATGCGTCAGCTTTACAGAACCAATAACAATAAACAAAGGAAGCTGCAGTAATTAGAGGAGCGGCTGGCCGAACAGTTGGAATGTTGGACTCTCATACGGGAGACCCGGGTTTAAATCCTCAGTATAACTGGGGATTTTTTCTGTTGGGGGCAAAAATAAAATTCTCACCTGCACCGTCCGTAGCTACAGCAATAGCCATGCGCCCATAAATTCTCAGCCTCAAAGACCCCCCTGCCTACACCACAAAAGTGGTATAATGAAGGCAGTAACTGACAGTTTGACAGCTGCAGTGATTAAGTCTTTATCAGCTATGTACTTTGTTTCTCCAATTTGTTTTGTTTTTTTTGTTTTTATTTTTTGTTGTTGACAAAGTAAGAAAGAAAGAAAAAAAGAGATATTTGTGTTTTTCTTGTTGCTAAGTAAGGCAGGTTTTATAGCATTTGTTTGTGTGTGCTTCAAGACCAGAAACACTTAGCATAAAATTAAATTGTGAGCATAGAATGAAAGTGTTTTTACCACCTCAAAATTGGCCAAAATAATCACTTCCATATAAAACAATAACGGAAATTAATTCCTTTCTTTTTTCGGTTATACTGCACTGAGATAATATATATGCAACATCAACTGAAAAGATAATATGATAGATACTTCCTTAATATTATGAAATTTCAGCTCCATCAAGACGCGAACCCACGACCTTCTAATTAGCAGGCGGGCGTCTGGCCGCCAACGCCACGGCAACTCCCAATATCCCTATGAATATGACAAATATAAAAATAAGAGTAAAGGAATGTTCTGTGTGAGCAAAGACACATGGAAAATCATTTTGCAGAATGAAATAGGGGCAGTTATTCATCTGTCATCAATCATTCCAATACAAGTCTACAGAAATTACCAATAGTGAGTCATTCAGTTTCTAACATTAACTCTTTCAGTCCCAAAGAAGGCATCATACATTCATATGTTCGTACTTAGAAGACCAATGAATGCGAGATGTGCCAATGGGCCTCTGATGCCAACACCATTGATACTGAAAGAGTTAAAGTACGTGATGATTGGTGCTGAATTGGCTCTCTGAATTTTAACTGACTTTTCATTAATAAGCATTAGGGATTTCCCTGGTTTTTAAAACCATGTTGGTATTCTAAATAATAAAGCGGAAATTTGAATTTTGGAACTAAAACAGAACTAATCAGAATTTTATAGAAGATACTCCATCTCAAATAGATCAGACATGCACTGAGAATGGATAAGATCAGACTCTCCCCCCCCCCCCCCTCCACTCCTTTTCCCCCAATCAAGTCCTCATTTGGACACGGGAAGGAAAAAGAAAAGGGGAAGAGCAAGAGAGACCCTGCACAGAACCATCAATAGAGAAAGCTTCACCATGGGCCTAATAAACATTTAAATCCTTCAACAGGCAGCAATGAACCACAAGACATGGAGAGCTATGACCTTTGCCCTATGCGCTACCCTAGGCTCAAAAGGAAAGACTAACTGACTCCATCTCAAATATTTGGAAGTATCAAGCCAAAATACTAGCCGCCCATCCTGTAAAAGTTGAGACTATAAGATGCACTCATTTTAGTCGTAGCTTTTTAAAATTTGTTTAAATTTTAATTTATAATCATCAAATAAATGTTGCATCCATATTACATTAATGTCAGAAGCAGCCATTTTAGGTCATCATACTTTTATGTGTTTAGAATTCAGTGAAGTCACTGAGACAGTAATGAATGCTTCTTAACTGTTTCAGTTCCATTAGGTTTTGTAGCAAAATCATTTTTTCCAATTAACTTTTTTGGTGCAGCACATCATATGTGATAAACTCATTCAAATGAGTTACCCACATTACCCAATGTGTTCCGTTACTTTTTTGCATTTGGTCATAGAATGCTAAAGAAATCTGGCATTTGCAGTTGCCTCTTTGACATCTGTATACTCATTCTTCTAGAGCAACTGCTCTAAAATGTTCTGGGATTGAAAGAGTTAAATTTTACCACAGAAACTCTAATCATTTGTTGTGTTGTAAGAGTGAAAAATTTAAAAAGATACCACTGTGGCTTCCAGATTTATTTAGTGTACACTAACCAAAACTTTAATATAAAAAGACACTTGATGTGATGTTTGAGACAAGTTAGGAATAGTCAGTAACACATCATGAGCTGTTTAGGCCTGAAAGAGTTATAATGGAGACCTAAGACTCTGACTCATCCCTCTGCTGGCTAGTCTCTGTGGTGCAATGTCTTTCCTTACTCATTGTGCTGCTGTAGCTAAAAGGCTGTAAGCAAAAGACCTGGAAAAGAGAAAATGTTAAGTCAGAATTTAAAAAAAATTTATTTCTTTGTCTGGCCTAGTTTTAGTTCACTAAGTAATATTAGTTCTTGTTAGAGATTAACTCATTCAGTACCAAAGGAAATTCACTGTGAGTTAATTGGATTCTATGTATATTATATATTGTTCTTTACTCATCATGCCACATCCAGTTGTTACATCACTCCAAAATGCTCCTACTGTTATTTTAATTCCTTTTATCACAAAGTATTATTATTTTTAGTCCTTCAGACCAAAACATTTATTCATCATCATCATTTTCTTAGGCAGTCATCTTTTGCCATCTCACACAATCACCAGAATCATGGATAAGGTCAATATATTGTCTCACTGCAAATTTTAAATCAATTTGGCTTTGAAAATGCCACTTGGGTCAAAAGGCAACCCACACCCTCTTCCACCCCACCGCCTATTTTTAGTTACTATATTCATTTCCTGGCCTATTAAACAATCTACTGGCACACACTGCAATTAATGGAATTTAACTACAAGTTCTAGGTTCTGAGAATACCTGCAGATATGGCCATATATTGATCGGCATTCACAAGACTGTCACAGCTGGATGTAACTAGATCTATTCATCTCAGGCTGACAGGGTTAAAGTTAACAATTTTCTAGGAAGGGGTGGGTCATTTCTGTATATCACTATATTCCTGGAACTGAACAAGTTAATAAATAAAATGCTGTTTGTGTGATGTTATTGTTTGCTACCTGTTTATGATTTGATATCTGATTATGTTTGTAAAATATTAAATAATTTTTACTGATAAGAATAATTTTTATTAAGATAATAGGAAACATCTCATGATGCTCAATTTTTTTATTAAGTAGGAAATTACATTGTGACTGCGTGTGTAACATACTATTCTGCTATACTCCTATGTAAATATTCTTTTATATATTATTTGTAAGTATTATTTTGACTATTTGTTAATGGAATTCATTTTTTACACAACTATTTTTTAAAAAAAAGCACTATTTCATACTCTACAGAGTTTTTCACATTTTCCTGCCAGAATTTCATAACAAATATTTGTTATGTGGAAAGTTGTGCAGGTTTTTTAAAAACTACTTTGCAGAATTAATTCATCATTTGTAATTGTTGGAGATGGTTTTCATTTACTGTCAAAGCACTATTTGCATACTTCACTTCAGATTAATTATTTATATGTAAGTTAAATAAATAAATCTCCTTCCTATGTTTAAACAGATATAAATTTTAGAAGTGACAGGAATTCCCAAAAAAGTGATTTTTAATTTAACACTTTGAGTCCCAGGGGGTTTAGCATCACTGGCCCAGGAGGTAGTTAAGAAAGTAATAAAATTGGTGCATCATGCCTTCATTGGGCTTCTAGGTAGGAACCTATGAACGTATGATGCGTTCCTAGGGACTCAAAGAGTTAAAATGAACATGTAGAAAATGTTCTGCAATGTCTGTTGTAATTTAAAAAAAACACACACACACACACACACATACATAATTTATTAAATTATTTGAAAAGTCAAATTTACATTATCTGTGAAGTTTCTGCTTTTCAGTGAAATACAACTGGCAACTTAATGTTACGAAATACTTACCACATTATTAACATTCTTCATACAATTATTATATTTATGCAAATGAATCAATTTTTGCAAAACTTCTATGCAGTGTAATTTATCAATTACAGTGAAAATAAAAAATATTATTTTACATTAAATTTAAAAATGATAATTTTAAACAATTGCTATTACTTGAAATAAGATTAATATCTTCTTTTGATTAATCAGTACTTATATAAAAAGCTTTCTTCCTCAGCATGTCTAATTAATTCAGTCTATGATTAATTTTCTATAATAATTCTTCTTTCTTTCCTTCTTTCTCCTCCTCATTTATCATTGTGTTCGTCGGCTTCAAAGTTTTGTACAATCTGTTTAAATGTTTCACCATCTGGTATGTGAGCTGCGTCTGTGACTTGGGCATTGTGAGTTTGACTCACAATTCCAATGTACCGTGATCGAAACCCACTGCTGGCTGCATGGATTTCTATCATGGTATCAATCGTCGCAGGTCGACCCAGCCTAAAATGGGTACCAGGATGTATGTCCTGTGGAAGTAAAGATAGCCGGCATAATGCTTATAACCCCCCTAATGCTGATTGATTTGTAAAAATAGGGGTGCTCTTCCCATATGCCCGATGCGCCCAAGGCATGAAAAGGGATCTTTATTCAATAATTGCACCACTTCCACAAACTGCTAATTAGTTAACTTTTTATGGCATGCTTGTTGGACGCAGTTTGTCTATTCTTCCTTCCACTCCCCACCCACTGCCTTTCTAACAAACATCAGGACCCTGAAAATGCACAGGAAAAAGGTGATCTCACAGTAAGGTAGCAGGTCATGAAATAACCTTCACTGGAATGCTGAGGGAGTGAGGCTGAAGAAAACTAAACTACAGTACTGCCCCTACCTCTCCCAGCAAGGACTGTGGATCTGGCCCAGGGGATCCACATTGCGAGAGAAGCTATGGGGGACCGGTGGCGACCTTAAACGCACAATCCTATTTTTGACCCAGACGGGACTCAATGTGTAGCATGACTGATGAAGAAGAAGAAGAAGAAAAAGAAACGAAATAACCTGCCAACATGGTGTTATTGCTTCAGTTCCTAGTGATTGAAGCACTTAACACGATGTATCCAATCAGCATGGATCAGTAGCTTGACCGTTTCTCATAAAATAAGCTCCACCTCCCAGTCCCATAAACTGCTCAAGTTATATATTGAAAGACTGTTCTCATGATGTCTAACAGATGAATGAAAGACATACCATTCAAGAGACTAGGTAGGGTCTGACCATGTAATAGTCATACAGTTAGTCAGTTAGCAGTGGATACGTTGTAGCCAACCTCCATTGTGAATACTACAGAATTATTATTTACTTGTTGAAAAGTAAAGGAGGTCGTGTTACATTGACTACATGACCTTTTGTCTACCATGACCTTTTGCTATAGAGACATACAGAATATATATTGCTGCACTGAAGTTGATCCCCTTGACGTCTTCCTCTTCTTCTATGCTGGCGTGTAAAAAAGTGGTTAGCATGTTATTTTGTGGTTTACAGCTAGGCTGCAATATCTGTACCTTGCAGCCCTACACATCTGATTTTAGCAAACCACAATTAGTCACCTTTTACAACATGCCTCTTAAGCGGCAGCGGTTCTATTTATGTTTTTTTTGTATTCTCCAAATATGGGACACCTAGAACCCACCCAGGAAGATCCTCTTGACACTCTTGACATTAGAGCCTAAAAAAATTTTTTTTTAACATGGCATATTCAAATTATAGTTATTTTTCGCTAGTTTTGCTTTGACCTCTACAAGATTCCTTTTGCCTCATTAAAAATACAATAAAAATATGCTGCTAATTTTGTCACAATACATGATATTCAACAATAACATCTCTACTACAGAACTCTAGGTTGCAGTTGGTGCCAGGTGTGCATGCAAATGTATTCTGTTCTTATACAATCATTTGGAATCAAAGGGAAATTAAATAATTCCAGAAAAAGAAAAAGAAAAAGAAACTCATATAGTCAGCCACTGATGTGCGCCTATAAATACTAAAATTAAAGCTTTTCATGTCAAAGAAAAAAAATTTCTTTTATCAATTTTTCTGCTTAAAAAATATTTTTAAAAATAGTGAAAAATAAGACAATTTGTGCACGACTTATTGCTGTGTGTTTGAATTTCTCTTAAGTTTTTTGGGTTTTTTTAAAATACTGATTTACTTAATGCAATGTATTTCAAACTAAACCAAAGCTGAACAGTAAAAGTATTTATTATTTTGTATATCTTTTTATCCTTACATTTTTGTAAATCCAAATTATTGAGATATCTAAAGAAACATATTTGCTCATTCACTATTATTTCCTATACACTGAGTTTTGATTCTCACATCCATATTTATGTAGATAGTAATAGTAGTCATTTGAATAATGATGAGTTATAGTAAGTTGGGAAGTCGCCCCGGGGGAGCGGCTAGGCGCTTTTTTTCAAAAATGACCTTGGCTCCCAGGTCGACCCAGCTTTGAGTGGGTACTGGGTGGGAAGTAAAGGCAGCCGGCGTGATGCTGACCACATCATCCATCTTGTTCCTAAAGGCGTGGAAAAGGGGTCTTTACTTTAAAAAAAAAAAAGTAAGTTGAGCTAGAAACCATCATTACAGAACTCAGGTCATTCATAAAACACTTGCCACCAGCCAACACAGAGTTCTAATTCCAGATGGTATTTTAATAGCGGTCTTACTGTATGTCCATCTTGCCATTCCTCTCAGTGTTGATTGTCAGCCACATCCCCCTGGTCACTCCCTACTGCATCAATCTTTTAAGACTGTGATAATATATTTTTGCTTCTGTGCAGTTCAACCACTCTTAAAGGACCGTGGCCACATTTAGCTGGTCATGTCATAATTTACCACAAACTGGTACCAGTCTGTCCACGTGTTCATTTCCCAACACACCTGAATCATCGAGAAAATAATCAAAGGATGCTAAGTGATGTGATGCTTTCCACTCTGAACAGTGCCTACCTGCCTCCACCTTTCTCAGCATGCTTTGTGAGACTGTTACAATCAAGACGTATGAGCAGTTAGTTGTCGAGCCAGTGGAAAGCTGCTGTCACTAACTCCATCTCCATTCTCAAACTAGATGTCGGGTATTCTAGGTATTGCTGTACTTAGGATCATCAATTCACTTTTGTGATTAATCCCCATGAATTTGTTGCCTCTCAACACAAAGCCATCTTAAAGACAATCACATCATCTGAGTGGGAATTGTTACAAATCAGTTCTCGAAATTATGATTCTGCAATGTCTGCTGGTCAGTCTCTGCACTCCCAGCCAAATGTGATTAGAACTCTACACAAGTCTGACTGTTGCCCAGACCAGATACTCTGAGCTGCTTCTCTCCTTACCCAGTGTTTTTT